AGCGATGCCAAGTCAGGGGTCCGGGCCCCTTTTTCCCCGGGGACCAGCTCTCCGCCCCGAGCCGTCTGCCGGCGCGCCCGTGGCCCGGCGAGGGCTCCCCGAGGCTGCACGCTGCCAGAAGCCTCCGGTCGTGGGGTTGAAGTCGCGACTCGAGGTCGGGGCACGACGACGACGTCGACAACGACGGCGGCGACGACGACAACGACGTCGGCGACAAGGACATGGACGACGACCATCTTGCGAACGTGTGATCTAACAAGCTGCCTTGACCTTCATTTGACACTGCGTGTGTCCCTTGAACCCGCCCGCTGAGCCTATGAACTAACACCTTTTTCTGGCCGTCGCTCGGACGTCCATTTCCCGTGTATTTTTCGGTTTCGTGCGTGTTTTTTTTTTGCTTGATGGTCCAGGATGGTCCTCGATGGTCCTCGCCGAGAAAAAATGCACACGTCCGAGCGATGCCAAGTTTTTGTTGGGGGGCTTCTTTTCACTCCGGATCCAGGGAGAAGCATGCAGCAGTGAACCCTGTGTGCGCACCACGCCGCCATGGCCGTCATGCGAGCGAACGCGCCCGCGGGCAACTTACAACATTAAATGGATTTCGCCAGCCCTCTGGGCGCGAGTGGTTTACAATCGAAAGCCCTAATAAGGACGCGCGGTGAGGACGCAAGACCCTTGGAAACCGAAGTTGGGATTTCTGGGGCGGCGGACGACGAACATCTCAAGGACGCAAGAGCAAGGAAAAACAAGGACGCACGGGTACCCTGAGCAAAGTCGCGCGTCCCTGTTAGGGTTTTTTGACTGTAGCGACTTCCCCTTTTCCAGCCCCCTTTCTTCCCCTTTGGTGATGGGCTTGTCACTGTCCCTATCAAGAAACACCTGCAGCCAGCCCAGACCCATGCCGATTCCCCCCCACCATCCCTGTCAACGAACAGTGCGAAATACACCTTGCCTCCAAATATGAGGCATGCGCGGAGGCCACGCGACCACTATGCATGGTTTTTGACAGGGGCGGTGGGGATGCCCTCATACTGCTTGCCGCGCGCAAGCCAAACACCCCGTCAAACAACACTTTGTCTCATAATGTTGGAGCATGCGTGGAGGCCCCGCGAACATTCGACATTTGTTTTCGATAAAGACGGCGGGGGGGGGGCGGCCTCCTCTTGCTTGCTGCGCGCAGGCCAACACCCCCTGTTAAATTACCACGCAAAGCGCACTCTGCTTCCGAATCTGGAGCGTGCGCGGGCGCCCCGCGACCACCTTGCATGTGTGTTTTTGACAAGGATGCCCGGGTGCCACTGGTGTGCTGGGAGGGCGGGCGGGAGTGAGCGAGACGGCTTGTGCTTTGTGAGTCGGACGGGGGGGCATCACGTTTTTATATATATATACATGTTACTATCATTATTATTATTAGCAACATGAGAGCGCCGCGGCTGTGATGATGCATCGGGAAGGTGTGAAACATTCAACCGCACCAGGGCTATACAAAGGTGGTGGGGGGGATCAGAGAAGACAGCCTACAGCTGGTGGGCAGACTGCTTCTGAGCATGGCCAGAACCTTCAATGTCAATCAATTGCTGATCAATGAGAAGCGTGAGTTCACACATCCGTGCTGTGCAGCGCGGCGCGCGATGACCGAGGTGCTCAATGGCAGCAACACGGGAAGCGAATTGCTTCAAGCAGACTGGGCATTGCGGGCCTGCGACATACTGGCGTGCCGGGGTCCGATACCCATGCATCTTGTATGCGTGGGTCATCAAACCTTTATGGGTGGAGCAGCACCGGCGCCGCTCGGGAGGGCAGTCGGGGCAGACCCAGGGAGCCTCGGCAGGCGCTGGGTCTGTATGGACATTTATGTAAGTGGGCACGCAAACTCGCGGATGGAGGCGCGTGCAGTCAGGCATCATGTCACGCAGGTCCCGCTTCAATTGCGAAGGCTCGGCAAAAAGGGCGAGCCAGGGGCCAGGCTCGGTGCGTGGGTCTGGCATGCCGTGCAGGGCAGGGGCAGCCTGCCACGCCCATCTCAAATCGTCGGCCAGAGCTGCCGAAGCATTCGTGCACGGCTGCAGCCGGAACGCGCGCAAAATAGCCCGGCCACGCGCGCAAGTGGTAGCAGCAGCCACTAATCGCTTCTGCAAAAAGATCAGGTCCGTTGGCAGCACGTGCAATCCCTCAGCACCTCCCGGTCCGAGCCGTGTCCGGACCGCTTGAACCGGCAGCGGTTGGCCACCTGACGAAGCACGCGCATGCGAGCGCTGTGAAGATGCCGGACGGCGTCAGGAGAAGGGTTCAGCCATGTTTCGGTGCCGAACCACAGCTTCGAGAAGCAGAGCGAATCTGCCAGGGAGAGCCTCGTGCGCAGATCGATGTCGTAGTTGCCGTAGACGCGGTGCGCCAGAGGGTAATAGGCCTGCAAACAGGAAGTGGCCTTAGCACGCGCATCAGCGACGTAGGAGCCGTTCACTGTGCGGACTGTGCCCACGTGCTTGTAGCGGTTCGTCGCAACCGCTGCTCGGGAGCCGTCCAGTGTGCGCAGCATGTGACGCTTGAGCTCGGGGTCGTAGAGGGAGGAGCGCACTCGGCGAGATTCTTTGCCTACCAGGTGCAAGGAGACTTCCGTCTTGCCCTCCTTGAGGTTGCACTGGCGGCCGCGCTCGGCGAATGCGTCGATGACGATCTCCAACGGCAGGACGTCGTCCACAAACGTGATGTCGAAAAGGTCCGCAGAAACGCCCGGGTTGGGCTCGGCAGCCGGACTCGCTAGGAGAGCTTCAGGAGAGACGCGCCAAGGGCACTGGCCGGCAGCAGCTTCAACGAGAAGTACGAGACCAGCATCGCGGGCCCGCTGTCGGACCTTCTTCAGAGCATACTCGTAAATCACGTTGAAGATTAAAGCCCCAATCTTGCAACCCTGCCGCGCGCCCTTGGTGGTGCGCACGACGATGGCGCCCGGTTTCGTCGCGCCCTTCTGCACGCTGAGCCACGTGTTCGCGTGCATGTCGGCGACCAGGGCAGCCGCGTCAGCAGGAACACCGGCGGCGCGCAGAAGATTACCGTGCGTCTGGATAAATTCGGCCACCTGCTCCAGCACGGCCATGGGGAAGCCCGCGCCGCTGAGCGCGGCACGGACACGATCAGGATCGTCGGTAGGTTGAACCATCGCCAACTCTCGACAAACCGTGTCAAAGGCAGCGGTCAGGTCGACGAAGAGACGGACGAAGCATTGCCGACGGGAGCGGCACATGTCGGCGTGCAGCTCGGCAGTGAGCCCAGCGGCAGCGGCCCCGCGGCCTGCGACGGCACCGCGCTGCGTGTCGGCGACGGCGTGGGGGTAGTGAGGTTCTAATGCGCCCTTCAGCGTGGCCCCGTGCACCTTCCCCGCGTGGGTCTGGATGAGGAGACCGCGACTGTTCGCAGTGTCGGTGCGCTCGCCCTTGCGTTTCCGCAGATCCTGCATGCGGCCGCCCTTCATGAGAGTGGGTGCCTTGCAGTGCGCGCGGGTGGAGTTGAGGACAGCCTGCATGAGCAATGCGGCCGGCTCACCGCCTGCCTTCCATGCACCAGGGCCCACGCCGTCAGGCCCGGTGGCCTTGCGCCCCTTGGAGACCCGAAGGAGGGACTCGACGTAGTCGAGCGACAACGGCGGTGCACGCGGAACGTCAGGAGCAACAGCTTCAGCGGAGTCGGCAACCAATAACTCGGAGAACGGGGGGGTGCTGCCAGCGAGGTGCTGGCACCAGTGCTCAGTCCACCGCTGGTCGATGCCCGAGTCGTCGGTCAGAAGGTTGCCACTGGCGTCCTTGACCGCGCGATGAGGTCGGTCGTGGCCAGTGCGGAGGCGACGAGTGAGTGCATGCAGAGCTCCAGAATCATGAACAGCAGCGGCCTGCTCGGCTTCGACGGCGATCAAAGCAGCCCAGAAGTCGAAATCCTGAGAGATAGACTGCTTGACTTGCTTGCGATGTGCACGAATAGCGGCTGTAGCAGCAGCTTCGGCTCGACGGAGGCGAGGAAAAGACTCGCAACCTCGATGATCATACGCAGGACCATGGACAGGGCCATGGGGGGCCCGGCATGAGTGAGAGCACGTACAGCGTCTCCGAGAAGAAGGCCGCGGAGCCCGTCGGGTAGCGCGGCACCACCACGCCCATAGACACGCGAGTGTCTGCTGCCGGAGCGCCCGGCGAGCGCGGTGAAGCGTGGACCGCAACGGAGGTGTCGCACTGGCCAGCATCGCCGTAGTTGGAGACGTCCAAGGTCGCCGTGGCTCGTCGGGAGCAGCAGTGACTGAGAGGCAGGCGTCTTGGGCGTCGCGCATGAGGGCCACGACGCGGTCGTGGAGAGCTTCGGGATCCGCTGGGCCAGCGAGGACACGAGCAAGACGCTCCCAGAGGTACCGCTGGAAACGAAACTGACGCTCAGGGTCGGCTATCAAAGAGCGGCCCAGCCGGAAGCCGGGTGGTGGCACTGCTTCCCCCCCCTTGCAGGGCAGGGCACAAGGAACTCGGCGTAAGTGAGCAAGTGGTCGATCGAGTCCTTGCCGCTGAGATGCACGCCATGGTCGACGCCCGCCTGGGCGAAGTGGTCGGCAACGTCCAGGGAAGCGGCCACGTAGTCGTTACGACGACCCTCGTGCTGCAAGAGGCCTCCGAACCACGTTGGGAGGACCTCGGGTGTGGCCATTGAGGACAGGACCAACACGGCCTCCTCCATGGCTTCCCGCAGACACCTGCCGTTGTTGTTCTCGGCCGTACCGTCCTGAAACGGGATAGCCGAAGACGTGATGGAGCCGAGCGTGGCGTTGCCATCGATGGAGAGAAACACCATGCGTGTAGGCGGAATGGCATACAAGGCGGCCTTGAGGGAGTCCCAGAAGGCCGACCTGTCGGCATCAGTAGCTTGTTGAACAAGTGCGTGGGCAACCACATGTGTGAAAGAACACTGTGAGCTGTCAAGCCGCACCACCAGTAGTCGGGGAGAGATGGCCTGAGGCTGCACACGGGCAGCCAGAACGAGGGAGCGCGCAATCCAAGATTCAACTCCGAAATGTCCCTCCGGCGTGGCGCCAGAAGTGTAGACGACGTGCTGCGTTTGCTCCCGGGTGACGTCGCCACCCACGCAAGACTCCTGCACGCCAATGATGTTGTAGCCAGCGGCGGCGAACGCACCGTCCAGGTACTCCATCTTGCTACTAGTGTTCAGGCCAAGCTTCTTGGCGCGACGAACACCAGCAGGATCCAACGTCTTGACGTTCGCTGAGAGTGCCTCAAACGCGTCGGGGCGAGGGACCGCCGGCGGCGATACCTCACCGGTCACGGCGGGGAGGGCTGTGCCGGGGGTGCTGGAAACCCCGAGCACGCGGACTTGCCATCCTTGCCGATGGTGCGGATGACCTTCTTCCTGGTGAAGAAGTCGGTGATCAACTCCTTCCGCGGCTGCTTGCCGTGGTGGCGTACCAGGGCTCCTGCCTGCGCTGGCATGGGCGCTGCCGGCGGAGACTTCACCACGTGCCGCCTCTCGACAGGCTGGATCGGAGCTCCGGCTGCCGCGGCCCGCGTGGCCTCGGCCTGCTGCAACGTCAGGCTGAAGCCATCGAACAACTGCTTCACGTGCTCCCTGGCCGCCTCGACGTGGGCGGGGTGCACGCACGAGTCGCTCGCAAGATTCGTGACCATCTCGTCAAGGGCGGCGTGCGCCTGGTCGACTGGCGTCGCCGCCGACTCCAGGGCAAGATCCATCTCGGCCGAGCCCGTGCCCGTGCCGGACGCCACGGAAGCCTCGATGTCGTGGACCTCGCGCTCCAGCCCGGCAACCTCCTCGGCCGCCTGCTGGTGGAGCAGCTGGGCCGCCTCGACGGCCTGAGCCGCCTCGGCCTGGCGGCGGCGGGAGCGCTCGAGGGCGGCGCGGGCGCCGTCGAGCCTCGCGCCGATGGGCAGGACGCCGTGGACCCGGCGCTTCGCCTCGGCCAGGCGGCTCGTTAAGCGAAGCCTGCTCGTCGGCCAACTCGGCATCGTCCGGCGGGAGCGCAGCCAAGGCCGCCTCCAGGTACTTGACTCGGGCCTGGGCCTGGGCCTTGGTGAGATGGTCGGGGCTTCCGGGCGGCGCCGCGGGGCCAGCTGACAAGGGCGACGCCGCTGGCTGGTCCTGCATCTGCTTCTCGTGCAGCTGCGTCAGGCTGGTGGTGAGGGCCTGCAATTGAGACCTTACCGGATTCTGCTGCGCGCCCGCAGTGGCAGGCGGAGCCGAAGGAGGAGAAGGAGGAGGAGTCGTCGTCGTAGTCACCCCTGACTGGGGACGCCCTCCTGCCTGCCCCTGCCCAGCATCCGGAGGCGATGCCACCTCCGCATAGCTGCGCTTCATGCCGCACGTGCCGCAGGCGCTCTTCGTTGTGCACGAGGTCCCACACCCCTTGCACGTCCACTGCCTGGCCCGGGGCGGAGCAGTGCCCGGAGCCTGGCCGATCCAATGCCAGCGGCCGTCGGGGTCCTTCTTCCACTCCGCTGAGTGCCATGAGGACCGCGACAAGCTGGCATGCGCCGCATTTACGGGATGGTTGGCGGGCCACACCGCGCCCTGGCCACCGCCAGCGCGCCCTGGGCCACTCCATGCTGTCATGGGCGCAGAGGGGACGAAATCACGAAGCCACACGCTGGTGCGGCTGGGCTGGGTTGTAGACTGTAGACTTACAATCAACTCAAGGGCCACTCCCTAGTGGCAACCTTGAGCCAAAATGGTTACGGATACACACACACATACATATATATATATATATATATATATATATATATATATTACAAGGACGGCACACCAACCGCATGTGGAGCCCGCGGCGAGCGTCGCGCACCTGGCGTCCGCTTTGGTTCCCAGTGGCTGTCCATCCGGTGGCGACCCCTGGCTATGCCGAGACTCGGATGCCACTTGTGTGGTGGGAGGGCGGGTGGGAGTGAGCTACACGGCTTGCGTGCGGAGAGGGTGCCTTGACCCTGGACACGGCGCCCCGCGACCCACTGGAGAGTCCAAGAAGACAATAAGGCCTCGGCGAGAAGGCCAGCATCATTGAGTTTACTGCGGTTTTGGATTCATCTTGGGCTCCTGAGGAAGGCAACGCCAATTAAGGACCCCCCTCTTTGATGGAACTCCTCCAGAATGGCCGCAGTATGGCCCCCCAAACTGCCAGGATGACCCCAGGAGGGCCCCAAGAGAAGCCCAGGAGGCCCCAAGAGGCCTCAAAGAGATCCCCAGGAGGCTCCCAAAAGACTCCCAAGATGCCCCTAATAGGCTTCCCCCAAGCACTCCAGACGCCCCAAGGGGCACCCAGGACCGCCAAGGGGCCCCCAAGACGCCCCACGAGTACCCCAACAAACTCCCAAACTCCCAAGAGACATTCGAAGAGACTTCTAGGCATCCAAGGGGCCTCTGGCCTTTCTGCTCGCCCTCCTCCGCCTCCTCCTCCTCCTCCTCCTCCTCCTCCTCCACCCCTTCTTCATCCGCCTATTCCTCCTTCTCGCTCCTCCCTCCTTCCCCTCCTTCGTTCCCTGCCCCTCGTCCTATTCCTTTTTCTCATCCTCCCTCTCCTCCGATTCCTCCTCTTCCTCCCACTCTTGGGGTATGACCTGCCTTCCTTCCATGTCACTGCATGCCCTTCCACACCCCGATCAGGACAGGTCCCCTGGACATCGTTTCTGGATGGGATGTTTTCAGAGAGAGAAAGAGAGAGAAAGAGAGAGAGAGAGAGAGAGAGAGAGAAAGAGAGAGAGAGAGAGAGAGAAAGAGAGAGAGAGAGAGAGAGAGAGAATGAGAAAGAAAAAAAGGGAGGGAGGGAGAGAGGGAGAAAGAGAGAGAGAGAGAGAGAGAGAGAGAGAACACGAGGGAGAGAGAGAGAGAGAGAGAGAGAGAGAAAGAGCCGTTCCTGAGTCTGGGGGTCTCCAGGGCGTCGCAGACATCTACGACGACGACGACGTCGACGACATCGGCATCGGCATCGACATCGAGATCGGCGGCGTCTCGGGCGGCTCGCGACTTCTAATGCGGACCCCTGCGCATCCGGCCTCGGGTCTTGTTCAACGCCGCGGCAGCTGGAGTTCCGAAGAAGCCAGCAGCGTGCCGCGGCCTTGGCGCTCAGCGGGCCCGGCGACAGCCCCGGAGGCGCTCCCAGGGGGCCCCCAGAGGTCCCCGGGGGCCCCGGGCATGGCGCCGAGACGCCGAGAGGCCCCGGAGAGATTCGGTCTCTTTACAACCAGAACAACCACTTTACAACCATATGGGTTACTTTACAACCAACATAGGATTGGAAAGTATGGTTTTCCATCGAGAACGTCCACTTTGCAACCAAAACAGAACGGCCCACTTTACAACCAGAACGGACCACTTTACAACCAGCTCAGTGGCCGTGCGTGTTTGGGCGTTCCGCAGAGTGCTCCAGAGCAAGTGGGCGCTCTGAAAAATGCCCCAGAGCAAGTGGGCGCTCTGAAAAATGCTCCAGAGCAAGTGGGCGCTCTCAAGAGTGCTCCAGGGTGCGCGGACGCTCTGAAAAGTGATCCAGAGCACGTGGGCGCTCTGGAGCCCGAGCGCCTGAACTCTCTGCGCAGGCCCCAGCGATGCCTCTGACGCCGAGCGCCTGAACGCCCCGCGCAGGCCCCAGCGATGCCTCTGAGCCCGAGGACCTGGACGCTCTGCGCAGGCCCCAGCGATGCCTCTGAGCCCGAGGACCTGGACGCTCTGCGCAGGCCCCAGCGATGCCTCTGAACCCGAGGACCTGGACGCTCTGCGCAGGCCCCAGCGATGCCTCTGAGCCCGAGCGCCTGGACGCTCTGAGCAGGCCCCAGCGATGCCTCTGAGCCCGATCGCCTGGACGCTCTGGCGCTCTGAGCCCAGCAGACTAAGACAAGGCTGGCTAGCAGGGGCCAAGCGGCCTCAACAAGGGCCCCGTGCTCGCACGGGAATAAGGCGACAACATACGTAGGAAGGCTCAGGGCGACGCGCCGCCCATTTTAGGGATCACTCACAGGAAGCGAGCCCAGTGGCCTCCACAAGGGCCCAGCGCTCCAGGGAACTAGGCCATTGGCACCGCGGGTCTCTTGGGCCACGTTGGCCCCTGAAGCCCCACGGTGTTCTGCAAGGGGCTAAGTGCTCCAGCTCCAGTTGGCCCCCTGCTGCTCCTCGTCTTGGAAGATCGAGGTTCAACGTTCCGAATACATGCAACTATTTCGAAGATCGTTCCTTCCAGCGTCAGCCACAGTGCCAGCGCAACAACGCAGGTATCCTGCTCGGGCAGCAGCCTCAGCCACCGTGCCAGCGCAGCAGCTTGAGCCACCGTGACAGCGCATCACCGCCACCTTTGTGCCTGCTACCACCACACTTACCGCTGCAGCCCCGCTACCTCCACAATTCCGACTGACCCCCTGCTACTACCGCAAATCCCATTGCAGCCCAGCTACCACCGCAGTTCCCACCGCTGCCTGGCGACCACCACAATTGCCACCGCAGCTTCCCAACACCATGCAGTTCCCATTGTAGCCCCCGCTACCACCACATCTCCCACTACAGCTTTCCACTGCCATGCAGCTCCCGTCCGGACGGGATCATGGTTTATTCGTATGTCCTGCGCGACTAGCCTTCGCCCGTCAGAAAAAAAAGGCAGAGCAAGCAATGGCATAACTGACCGACAGAGCAGGTCAAAACTCTAATCCGCCCACCAGCACGCAACACACCATAGCGCACCAGGTCGCCGCATCGCCAACGCGTGCGCAGTGCTTCTTCGTGCGCGATGGGCAACTTTACAATCAACATGCCTCAAAGAGCCCAAAGCCACCCTTGCGCTTGCCCACGGAGATTTCAGGGAAAGGCCCGCGTGCATTCAATATTTGTTTTTATTTGCCTGGTTGTAAAGTGCCCTTCCTGGTTGTAAAGTGCCCTTCTCGGATTTTGTAAGCTGGTTGTAAAGTGACCCATCTGGTTGTAAAGTGCGCTTCTGGTTGTAAAGTGACCCACACGCCTTGGTGTCCCCCCCCCTGGAGGCGCCTCAACGGCTGCGGCCACCAACTGCGAAAAGTGTTTTCGATTTTTTCGGCACGCCCAGAACGGGGACGGAAAGTATGGGTACGATCCCCAACAGCAGTTCCTCTTCATGCGGAACAAGATATGCTGTCCTTCGACACCCTTCCGACAAACGTGCTCGCCAACACGTTGGCGGCAGTTCTCGTCCGCCTGAACCACACATGCTGCCACATGGATCAGAAGCTTTGATGTCCGATGGGCCCTAACGGACTGCGACTCTCGATCAACGTGAGCAAACACTGCTGCTGGGCATCGTGCCCGTACTTCCCGTCCCCACACCAGGCGTGCACGGCCAGCAACGATTCGGTCGCCCGCGGGTTGGATTCTCTGGCCGAAAAAAGGTGGAGAGCCTCTCCTAGGCGAAATGAAGCATGGACTCCCCTCGGAATGTCCTGTACTCTCGGGAATCCCTCACGACCTCCACGCCGACGCCGACGCCGACGCCGACGACGAACACGACGACGAACACGACGACGACGACGACGCGGTCGTCCTCCCGCAGCCCGCGGCAGCGCGCCGCCTCTCTCGCGTAGGGGGCGGGCTGGGGCGGCGGCGGGGTGCCGACGGCGGGGCCACGGAGGGGGCAGGAGGCAGCAGACTGGTGTAGAAAAGAAAGGAGGACAAGGGATGGAGAGTTAGGGAGGGAGGAAGGGAATGAGAGCAGCGAGCAGGATGAAAGGGATGGAGGGCAGGGAGGGAGGGACGGTAGGGAGGGGAACGGGAAGAGGAGGAGGAGGAAGAGGAGGAGGAGGAGGAGGAGGAGGAGGAGGAGGAGGAAGA